TGCATGCGATAGCAAGTGAGAAGCTTTCTCGTTTTGGCGTCCATTCGCTTAATTTCATCTATGGTCCAGTTAAGGACATTAAAGCTGTATTGCACCACAGGGACAGCCAATGTGTTTATGGCTGATATCCTGTTTTTTTTTAGTTTAGCTCAGTATTTAGTACCAGACGTACACGCCTGTAGTACTCTTTTCATATTTTTTACTTCATTTGGGTGTGTTGTATGCCATCTCTTTCGCTAATTCCTAGTTACTTATAAGCTTCATCATTCTCCAGTTCCCTAATGTTTGTGACAAAATCTAAATCTATTAAGGGTGTTGCTGTAATTCTACCTTTCTTGAATGTTACTTTTGCACATTTATCTAATCCGAAGTCCATACCTATGTCGTCACTGAAGTATTTTACAATATTGAGGAGGCCTTTCAACTCATTGTCGTCTTTGGCAAAGAGTTTGAGATCATCCATGTAGAGTAGGTGATTGAATATTTTCTTATTTATTTTGTAACCATAGCTACTGTTGTTCAGTTCATGTGTAAGAGGGATTAAGGATAAACAAAACAGAAGGGGTGACAGAGAATCTCCTTGAAAGATTCCACGTCGGATATTCAGACGGTTGGATATGGCAGTGCCCCCTGGTGTGACTAAGGTATAGTTTGGTGTTCCACATTCCCATGCAGTGCTTAAGGAAATTTAATACCACAGGGGAGACTTTGTACATTTCCAAAGTCTTAAGGATGCAAGAATGTGGAACACTATCAAAGGCTTTACGATAATCAATCCACGCTGCACTTAGATTCCTGCGTCGTCTCCTGCAATTTTCCAGGATCATTTTATTTATCAGAAGTTGATCTTTGCAGCCATATGAACCTCTTCTGCATCCCTTCTGTTCCAGCGGGAGAGAATGCTGTTTGTTTCGAAAAAGGAATAAGTACGGTTCGTCAGTACAGACGTGATCAACTTATACGTTGTGGAGAGACATGTTATCGGTCTATAATTTTTCGGGTCGTCTGTTTCAGTTGTTTTTGGTATGAGGTATGTAATACCTTCAGTAATCCATTCCGGGATTTTATTGGGATTATTTACAAGCGTTGATAATTTTTTTGCAAGAATTTCATGGGTAGATGTGAGATGATACAGCCAGAAATTGGGCAACTTGTCATTTCCCTGGGATTTCCATTTTTGGGATTTCGTTAGAGCTTGCCTAACATCATCTGTGGATATATTTTCCCATTCTTGCAGAGGTGTATCCAGCATTCGTTCTTCTTCACGCTGGTATCCATTCTGCATTTGGGTTATATTCCTTTGGGCTGCTCCAAATATTTTCCCAAAATGTCTGTACATTATCAATCGATGGTGGCCTTTCGACATGTATAGGTGTTTTTCCAATTTCCCTGTAAAATTTCTTAAGATCTGTTCGGAATATTTTATTTTGGCGATAGAACCTACAACGTTTTTCGTATCGTCTTGTTCTCTGTGCCTTTAGCTGAAGTTTCTGCTTCAGCATTTCCTTGATTGATGGAATATCAATTAGGGATTTAATGTTATATTTCCGCTTGATCTTTTTGAATTTACGTGTGGAAATATTAGGGTTTCTGGTGAGCTCATCTAATATAGAAAGCTCACATCTGATTTGTTTTATTTCTCGAATCAGTTTGGTTTTCCAAGCTGGTTCTCTGTGTCTGTTAATTTTATTTATTGTCTTGACTCCAAGCTTCCGAGTCGCTGCTAAAGCTGTTGCGTATATGACGTTGTTAACTTCTGTGATGTTTCCCGGTGGTTTATCTGTTAACAGTGTTTCCAGAGCAGCATTGTATATTTTCACGATGTGCTTGTTGGAGTTCGTCATATGGATTTTCGGGAGCTGGTCTCTGTCTGACAATTGTATGAATGTTACTCTGCTGAGTACTTGGATGACGTCATTTTTCGCTTCGGTGATTTCAGCTTCGTGGTTTTCAAGGAATTCTAACTTATTGTCACTGAAGATGACTCCAGGTGCATTTTCTGGAGGACTGTAGGTTTGTGTTTAAGGTAGAGTCTTGGTTTTTCATTTCCTGGGAGATTATTTCGTATTTCATTTGTTCCAGCATCCACCCCATCCTCTGTTGCATTCCTTATTTTTACATTCGTCTCAATAGAGTTTGAGTGATGGGTCATAGTATTTTGTCTTATATCTAATTTTATCTTATGTATTTCTGCCTTTGAGAGTCTGTTGTTTCGCATGATGTCCCTACGGACATTGGCAAGCATGTTTGGATTGAGGTTAGGTCTTATATCATTTCCCACCGTACTTCTCCATATTTGGTATGTTTGATTGGTGGTGTTCTTTGCTGGGTTTTCGAGTGCAGTGAAGAAGGATGTCATGACTTGTCGATACTTCTTCGCGGCTCCATTTCGTTCGTTTACTTTTTTATTAGTCGATTTGGTATTGAGTCACTTGGTCCAAGGTTGGCAATAACCCGGTTTTGGTGACCAAGTGTCTCTTCGTTTGTGGAAGAGTTTGTTCCAGTGGCATTAATTTTTTTCGTTCTCAGACTGGTTCCTCTCTGAGTGACGCGGCCCTTGTTGTCCCGGTTGACGGCCGATCCGGTATGAAATATTATTCGTATTCATTGAAATTAGTAGAGATGCGTTTTAACCTTGACCGCCAAGGGTAATTATGTTCAGATTACAAGCTGTAGGACGAATCTCGAAGAAGATCCAGGAGCACGCCCAAACAATGAGATTGTGGGTTTATTGATATAAAAGAGAATATTTCAAAAGAAAGATTGTATTATTATTAAAGTGGGGTAGACTATAGTAAGTTTTAACTTTTTAGTATAAGTCGGAGTGACCACTCCGGGGGGATAAATACATTTTAGTATATACTAAAAAAAAAAAAAAAAAATTCAATATATCCCTGTCAATGCGGATACATACACATTAAATTATATATATATATATATATATATATATATATATATATATATATATATATATATATACATAACGGAGAGAGAGAGAGATATTAGTAAACATGTACACATATACGCAACGACAGAGATTTGGGATGCTTAAAGTAAGAGACGGAAAATAAAAAAAATAAAGTGAAAATGGACACGGATGTCCAAAAGGTTTGCGACAGAAAATTTGAAATATACGGTAAACAACAAAAACAAAAAAAAAAAAAAAAGAAGAGGGAGCTGAAAGGGAAAGAATTAGCTGGAGTCAAAAGAATTTACAGTCATAGCAAATACACGGAAAGCAACATTAAAAAAGAATAAATGCTACATTTACCGTTTTTTTCCGACATCGGAGCATGGCAAAAGTGATCTTCAACAAATGTTCAGTTTTTCCGTCGCCAACGACAGATACTTATCAAATTTTATGGGGTAGGCTGGACTTATACTACAGATTGGTATATGGGGGGCTGGATATCAAAGAATTCATTAAACAAAGGGTAGAAACAGAAGAGTAAAAAAGTTATACTTTTCCGGTCATCTCTCAGCCTACTCTTTCTAAAAAATACATTTTAAATTATTATTATTATTATTATTATTATTATTATTATTATTATTATGTTGGTGTGGCAGATTGACGTACAAAGTGACAATTATGTTCTTGAGGTCCAGTGCCAACATAGTTGCTCACAAGAATTTTCAGGTAAATCCTCGCAGAAGAAATGTGAAGTTCTGCAATTTAAAATAAAGATATTGTACTGCACATTCGTAACTCTCGCATTCTTCCTTTCATCAAGTGTTCTTGACGAAGAACAACAACAAAAAAAAAAAAAAGCAACGTTATCGGTTTACGATTGGCACCTAAAATGGAAGTAACCTTTCCGGTGCCGTAAAATAGCTCCCTCACCTCCGCCTCTTATCGCTTCCATAACCTATTTCCCCGGTAATTGTTCCAGTGAAGATTCCTCTTTTGTACCTCGATTACACGAATTTAATGCGTAATACAAAATGGAAGATAGGTCTCATGACGTCACTATTGATGGCGAAACTCTCTTCCGGCTTGCTTTCCAGACGACTTTAATCTTCCAAAATGTAAACGCAATATCAATCTTTATCCTATGTCCTCTTAAATTCTGTTCTTTTATTGTTCTCTCTCCTTAATAGTGTTCTTTTCTTCTATTCAATCAAAATGGCTAGATGTAACCGTAAGTTCTATGCCAACAGTTTCTTCTCTCATACTCCTCGCTTGTGGAACTCACTTTCGGCTTCTTGCTTCTCTGTATATTTTGAACTTCAAAGAAGTAAATACAGACAACAAAAATGTAAATGCAATGTCAATCTTTATCCTTTGTTCTGTGAAATTCTCTTCTTTTATTGTTCTTGTTCCTTAATAGTGTTTTTTCTTATATTCAATCAAAATGGCTTCATGTAACCGTAAGTTCTATGCTAAAGAGTTTCCTATATCTCATTTCTCGCTTGTGGAAATCACTTCCGGTTTCTTGCTTTCCATTCAACTTCGATCTTTTACTTCTATTCAATCGAAATGGCTAGATGCAATGATAGTCGTTATCTTTACCCTCCTTGAAACCTGTTCTTTTAATGTTCTCTCTGATCATATGACGTTCAGTGATCCCCTTGAACCATAATGGCTTTAAAAAAAAAAGTCTAGTACGGCACATTGAACCAACTTTCTTAGCAGCAGACCTAGGAAAACGTTAAGCCGAGAAAGTCTATATTGAAGCCATTGATAGGTCAGCTGCTAAGAAAGTTGATCCACTTTGGCATTCTAGACAATACTACTCACCTGAATCTATCTTACATATCTATATGTCTACCATTCGCCCATGCTGCTACATATGGTCCGGTGCTCCAGCTGCGTGCCTAGAGATCCTTCGTAAAATCTAAAGAATAATCAGCAATATTACTGGTCCTGACCTGGCGTCTCGGCTTAAATCACTTTCCCATCGTTGTACGTTTGTCTCCCTATGTCATTTCTATAAAAAACTTTTCGTGATGTATTGTTATAGGTCCTATCTCTGTAATCTGGGTGGGGTTCGTTAAAATAATTAGATAGATAGATAGATACATAGATAGATAGATAGATAGATAGATAGAGAGAGAGAGAGAGAGAGAGAGAGAGAAGAGAGAAACAGACTGAGATAGATAGATACAAATAGAGTGCGATAGATAGATAAGATAGATAGATAGATAGATAGATAGATACGAACAGACTGGATAGATAGATAGATAGATAGATAGATAGAGAGAGAGAGAGAGAAGAGAGAGAGAGAGAGAGAGAAACAGACAGACAGGTAGAACAGATCGAGATAGATAGAGGAAGAAAGAGAAAGAAAGAAAGAAACAAACACATAGACTGAGATATATAGACAGATAAGAACAGCCTGAGAGAGAGAGAGAGAGAGAGAGAGAGAGAGAGAGATAGAAAAGACATAAACTAGCTAGGTAGCTAGAATAGGTAAATAGATAGATATGAACAGACTGAGATAGATAGATAGATAGATAGATAGATAGAAGGAATAGATGGGGGATAGACTGGGATAGATAGATAGATAGATAGATAGATACTAACAGAATGAGATAGAGAGAAAGAGACAGATACGAACAAACTGTGATAGATAGATAGATAGATAGATAGATAGATAGATAGACAGACAGATAGATAGATAGATACGAACAGACTGAGAGAGAGAGAGAGAGAGAGAGAGGGTGAGAAAGCGATACAGTCTAAGATAGATAGATAGATACTAACAAACAGAAATAGATAGACAGATACGAACAGTCTTGTGTCTCAGTGGCTTTATTGCCTTGCATAGGATGTCCTCGATTAAAAGAAGAATAAAAAGATATTCCCCTTTTCTTTTTCTCATGTTCATTTATGGTGTAGCACTTTTAAAAACGAACAATCGCAGACCAATGGACATTTTAATCACAGCTAATCTAAAAAGCCACATAAATTCAGATCTAAGCTGAATTTTTTGTAAATTTCTTGTCGATTCTCGAATCACCTGCTTTTAAAATATACTCGGAATAAATATGCAATTTTTTTTTTCTCCCCTCGCCTATTTATTTGCTGCGTGATGTTCAAATTGAATCCCATACTCATTAATGTTATTCGTTATTTCTGTCATTCCGGAGGCAACAACAGAAATTTTCACATACGCGCCTCGCGAACGTTGTCAGAAATGAATCTATTCTTTTTTGAAAAGTTCTGCAACTTTTGGCGAGAAAGAAAAAAAAGAAGAAAAAAGATATATTTTACTCATCAAACATTTTTGGCATAATCGCCTTTGTTTACGAACAATGTTCTCTGATTAATATTAATCAGAACTTTGAAATATTCCAGAGTGTAAATTTCAGAATAAAATTCATCAACATGTCCGTCTGAGCAAGTCTCTTTATTTAGCAATCTCCCCACACGACAAGCTGTGGCACAAGGACAGTTTTTAACGTGGGGAATTTCGAACCCGTAGGAGACACGGTGGAGTAATGGAGAGCGGCTCGGATTTAGGAATCAGTAAAGCCGAGTTCGAATTCCAGTCGAATCTATTACATTTACTTACCCGTGTTAATACTCTAGGGAATTGTATGAATCATCTTTTTCTACCCCGCCAGCTATGGGTAAATAGCAGATCAGACCGGGTTTTATAGCCTTGGATGGCAACTGGTCTACCGCAGAAAGAAATGGCAACCTACTGCGGGGAAAATATCTGCCTCGTCAGTCATGTATCGAAAGATACATGATCGCCTAAACGCGTATCAGGCATGATACATAACTGATAGATTGACGTGAAAATACCTTTGGGAAAGGTATGAATCCTCTTCTTCTCCCCCCAACTATGGGTAAATAGCAGGATAGACCGAGTTCTATCACCTTGAATGGTCTACCGCAGAAAAAAATGGCAGCCTACTGCAGGGAAAAAAATCTGCCTCGTCAGTCATGTATCGAAAGATACATGATCGCCTAAGCGTGCATCGCGCATGGCACATAACTGACTGACTGACGTGCTAATACCCTTGAGAAAGGTATGAATGCTCTACTTCTCCCCCCAGCTATGGATAAATAGCAGGACAGACCGGGTTCTATAGCCTTGGATGGCAACTAGTCTACCGCAGAAAGAAATGGCAACCTACTGCGGGGAAAAAATCTGCCTCGTCAGTCATGTATCGAAAGATACATGATCGCCTAAGCGTGCATCCCGCATGGCACATAACTGATAGACTGACATGCTAATACACTTGGGAAAGGTATCAATCTTCTTGTTCTCCAACCTAGCTAGGGGTAAATAGCAATATAGACCAGGTTCTATAGTCTTGAATGGAAATTGGTCTAGCGCAGAAGGAAATGGCGACCTACTGCGGGAAAAAATCTATCTCGTCAGTCATGTATCGAATAAACGTGTATCAAGCTTGGCAGATAACTGACTAGGGCTCGAGCAAAAATTACCCGTAGACCCGGCATACACGGGGTCGGGTGGCTGTCTACCTACCCCAAACGAGACTCTGCCCTTTGGCATAGCCTCGTCGGGGTTCCTCACCGCCCGGAGGCAGAGAAGTGGAGAGGAAGAAAAAGCCTTGTCCACGCTGTAGAGCCGACCTCAATACGAAAATTGAAAGAAATAGGGTATAAATAATCCACAATCCCCACCAAAAGCCCTTAATAGTCAAAAGAATTTGGATTCTTTTTTTTTTCATGTATGGAATAGAGTACATTTTCCCGGCAGTATCAGGTTAGATATTTTTTTTTTCAATCAAGTTCATCCCAAGCAAGGCGTTAAAGCCACTGAGACACATCGTTGGCCATCCAAATACATCTTCAGATTCCAGGGTCATATTTTCCGTCCTCAGTTAAAACAACTCCCAGATATTCAAATTTATGTATCGGCTTAATCTTAGTATCCCTGACGTGTAATTTGCATTTTGGGCTCCTCCTTTTGCTGATAACCATGCATTAAGTCTACTTGGGCTCCCCAAATGATATTTATTAAGCTTATCTTAGAACAGCAAAAGTCTACAAAGAAAGAAAGAGAGAGAGAGAGAGAGAAGGGAGGAAGAGAGAGTAGAATAGCCCAGTGATCGATTCATGAATTTTGTTTTTGTGCTTCTGAATTATTTGTAGGTTATTTATATTATAAAATATATATATATATATATATATATATATATATATATATATGTCTCAAACCATTTTATGTTATTCCTTAGGGCAGCAACATAAATTTTAACATACGTGCCTAATGTCAGAAATTAATCTTTTTTTTTTTTCTTCAAAAACACACCAAACATTTTTTGGCATAATCTCTTTTGTCTATGAACAACATTAATCAGAATTTTAAAATATTCTACAGTGAAAATTAAGCTGATATCAACATGTCAGATTAAGGAATTATTGAGCAAGCCTCATAATATTAAATTCGCACATTAAACTAGAGCAGGACCTCAATATGGAAAAGAGAGAGTAGAATAGCCCAGTGATCGATTCACGGATTTTTTTTATGTCTTCTCAATTATTTAATGCCGAAATATATATATATGTATATATAAAGACATTTTTATGTTTATACATTCTTTTTATAGATACAAATATTTAAGTAAATGCTCTGTTTTATAATAAACAGTATTAAACAACATTTAACGGCCTGAATGTCCGAGAAATTTTCATAATAGCATTCGTCCCTCGAAAGGAATCGAACCTGTATCCTATACGGAACCACCATTTAGCCCAACGTGCTCTTAACCGGTCGAGCCACAAAGGATCGGTCGATTACCAAGGTCGATTTTATTGCTTTTAAACTACAATCTTCTATGAATCTCTCACGTACATTCATATCTGCTCAAAGCGTATCCAAATGTAAACAAATGACGTCACACATTATGAAATGGAGAAAGTCCGACAATTATTTTAAGACATTTTTATGTTTAACGTTCTTTTTTATAGATACAAATATTTAAGTAAATGCTCTGTTTTTTATAATAAACAGTATTTATAACATTTACCGGCCTGAATGTCCGAGAAATTTTCATAGAAAATATTCGTCCTCCGACAGGAATCGAACCTGTATCCTATACGGAACCGTCATTTAGCCTGGCGTACTCTTAACCATTTTATGGTATTCCTGAGGCAGCAACATACATTTTAACATACGCGCCTAGTGTCAGAAATGAATCTATGTTTTTGGCTTCAAAATCTCAGCAAATATTTTTGATATAGTCTCTTAAAGTTCTCTAATTAACATTATTTAGAATTTTGAAATACACCAGCGTGAAATAAATAAGCTGACATCAACATGTCAGATTAAGGAATTATTGAGCAAGTCTCATAATATTAAATTCGGACGTTGAACCACAATAAGGAAATCAATGGAAACAATGAATAAAAATAATTCTTCATTTCTTTTTTCTTCTTCTTGAGAATGAATATTGCATTAAAAACTTTTTGAGAATCACAATGTTTTTTTTCCAGATACAAGTCGTGCTATTTAACCCATAGAAGTGGGGGGAGATTGATTTATACTTTTTCCAACTATATTTCCATTTAATACGGAAATTAAAGGGATTAAATAAAAAAAAAAAAAAATTAATTTTCAAAAGAAATTACATTTTTTCAAGCATCACCCTAGCTATATATATATATATATATATATATATATATATATATATATATATATATATATATTTAATCGAGTGCACCCCAGTCACTAAAAGACACTGAGACACAAAGATTTACTGGGTGTGGAAGTATTATTTAAAACAAATCAATTAATAAATGAAGTTGCCAGCTTGCTCAAATCCTCGGTCACGATGACTTGTGACATCATGCTCGCACAGCTATCGACGGCCCCTAAGTGTTACGTCTACCCAATTTCACTCACAATGCTTTGGGTACGGTTTTCAGGCACTTACCAAACGCTGGGATCATACCCCTCCAGACCGATAACGTGAGGAAGTCTCCTTCTTGACGAATCAACCGTGGCGAGATTCGAACCTGGGTATCATATCTTACTTTGAGCGATAGCCGTAGACAGTAGGCACGTTTGAGCTTTACATAAAACACACATTAGCAAATCCTTGCTCTCGTCTTCGACAGAACTGATTAGATCCAGATTCCATGGAGTATTCCTCAATTAATATTACAATCATGTTATTCTTTTTTATTTTCTCAATTCACCCCATGCAAAGCGATAATGCCACTAAGACGCAACGGGGTCTACTAGGAGTAAAAGAGAACGGAACGACTTTAGAAGGAAAGAGAAAAATATCGAATCCCATTTAAAAGACCCGGGAGGAGTGTGAACCGGACGATAAGCAAAACTGTCTATTCTTATTGAGGTAAAAAAAAAAATAAATTTAAAAAAATAATTATTAAAGAACATTTCACAGTTTAGGCGGTGACATCAGAAGTATACAGATGAAGTTGACTTGAACTGGAAACCAAATCCTAAACAGGGGGGAGAAAGGGACGAACCTCTACTCCTGTTCAAAAGACCGGAAATGAGTTTGAACCAGACGATAGATGAACTTATCTACTACTGACTAAAAATAAATAAATTAAAAAATGTTATATTCCTTTCTAATAGGAATATATACTTGAAAACAAGAGGGATAAAATAGGTAAAGGTCTATCGTAACCCCCCCCCAAAAAAAACCAATACAATAAGAATAAAGATAACAGTTATGCCCAAGGTCGTCGCAAGTCAATCCAGTAGTGAGGGCTACTATTGGAAGGTCGGTACTTCTCGCGCAAGTCTGAGTTGTACTCAACAGATCCCAGCTAGTAATCTTTACCAGCCTCCCCACGAGGTAGGATGTGGCATAAGGCCAAATTTTATGTGGGGCAATCCGAGCCCGTAAACCCCGCATAAACAGGTTCGGCTTGTCTACCTCCCAGAACGAGACTCTGCCCGAAGGCATAGCCTCGTCCGGGTTCCTCTCTACCCGAAAGCAGAGAGTTCGACAACAGCTAAGATCTGAGTAACAGATCCCAGCTAGTATAATTACTAACCTCCCCCATGCGATCAGATGTGATGTTACATGGGTTTATATGGGGCATCCAAGCTATGGTAGGCTCAGCCAAAAAATTCCCGTAGATATTCGGGATCGGGTAAAAGGATATTTCCCGGACGAGATTCTGTCCTTCGGTAGAACTTTTCAAGTCCGGGTTAGTAATCGTAATTTGAAGACAGAGATTTGACAACAGCCAAGAGCTTTTCTAACAGATCCCATTTAGTCGGTATTTTTAGCCTCCCCACCCAACATGATGGAACACGTATCGAGGGTAGATGCGGCACAAGGCCGAATTTAGCGTGTGACATCCGAGCCCTTAGGCTTGGCCCAAAAAATCCCCGTAGAACCCGCATAAAGGGGATCAGGTCTGTCTACCTGCAGGGCCGAGACTGTCCTCTGGCAAAGCCTCGTCCGGGTTCCTCTCTGTTCAAAGACAGAGAGTTCGACAACAGCCAAGAGCTGATTAACAGATCCCAGGTAGTCTCTGTAGTCCTTTTACTTACAGCTACTTATAGGTAGTTACTACCTATAGTGTAGTCACTCATGGGGGTGACAGGTTATTAATCCATTAAATCAAAAAAATAAATTTCAGAGTTTTAGGTGGAGACATTAGAAATATAGAATTGAAGTAAACTTGAGACGGAACCGGAAACCCACTCCTAAACAGGAAACAAGGGATAAACCTCTACTCCTGTTCAAAATATCGGGGAGGTCTCTGAACCGAACGATAGGCGAACCTATAGGTTTAGTAGCACTAAACACGGTTTATATTTTAATTTAATAATAATAGTTAGTCACTCGTATTCGATGATACCCGTCTAGTAGGGCTGCTAGTTAATCCCTATTGCAGACACTCGCCCAGGCACATTTCAGCTTGTACAACACCCTCACACCTGTGCTTTATTCTACAACTATGCTGTTTCTGTCATATTTGCCATATTTATTACGTTTCGGCATTTCACTATCTGTCTAATTTCCGAGACAGAAACTAGTTTACAGAATTATTCTGATTACGAACAAAGGCTAATTGCCATATATTATTACAAAGTTTCGGCCTTGGAGTAGTGTTTATATTTCTGAGATGAGGCTTTATGTACAATTTACATTATTGGACTATTGTCCTCATTTTGTCGCCATTTTTATTACAACGTTTCTACATTGTACGAATTGGCCATTGATTCAGTGGATTGGAATGTCGAACTGAACCCTTTATTTCGCTCACTGGGCTAGACTGTTCTAGTTCCACGTGCCATGTTTAATGTCAGTTATCAGTTATCTCCTGTTAATTCCCTTCTGCACGTTCTCCACCGGGTATTGAGCTCACACCCTTTGGGCCCTGTCACTGGATCTAACCAACGCCTTTATCCACTCTGCCTTGTGTCCCTTGAGGACCTGAAGAATGCTGGAACGTACAACGGCCGAAACGTTGTAATAAATATGGCAACAAAGATGAAGACAATAGTCTGAATAATGTAAATAGTGTACATAATACCTCATCTCAGAAATATAGACAGATACTGAAAGGCCGAAACTTTGTAATAAATATGGCGACAAAGATGAGGACAATAGTCCGAATAATGTAAATAGTGAACTATGCTGTTATCTAGCGTGATCAACAATCTGAACAACGCCAGCACGATCAAACCCTCGGTCACGATGACTTGTGACTTCATGCTCGCACAGCTATCGACGGCCCTCAATTTCACCAACAATGCTTGTGTCAAGCCTTGGTATGGTTTACAGGCACTTTTCAAATGCTGGGATTGTACCCCTCCAGAACGATGACGCCAGGAAGTCTCCTTGACAAATCGACTATGGTGAGATTCGAAACCCGGGTCCCATGATCAGAAACCGAACGTTCTAACCACTCGGCCAATTATTTTTTTAATGTATCCAAATGGCGAACATATACCTTGCAATGCACACTATATCCGTATTAAGAGGGTTAAACACCTTTCCACTAACATCGTGTCAATTGCCCGATTGAGTACATTTGACTTGATATATGACGGGCATGGCTTTTAAGAGACTAACACCACCTCCCCTGTGACCCCACCCCGCCTTTCTATTGTTTTCCTTTT